TATTAGTTAAAAGTAATTTCAATAGTTGCAGTTTGTCTTTGAGCTGTTGTAAGAAAATACCTTCAGGAATACTTCAATACCTGTACTGTACATATAGTATTTACTAAGTATATCACTTCCAATTGTAGTGACAAGCACATGGCTGAAAGTGACTTATTACAAGGTAAGAAAACCTTTATTTGCTTGAGGGTCAGCTGGGAAATAACGAAGGTAGGTGGTGGGAGCTGATGTGAAGGACATCCCTTGGCACCTGTAAAGTCAGGTTTGCCCACTTGCCTCGACAGTCAGGTTTGCACACTTGTCTCGACAGTCGGGTTTGCCCACTTGTCTCGACAGTCGGGTTTGCCCACTTGTCTCGACAGTCGGGTTTGCCCACTTGTCTCGACAGTCGGTATTGCTCTCATCTCAAGACAGTCGGGCTTGCCTCCATCTTGAGACAAGTTATGCAAGTTAATAGCAGAGTTTACTCCTCAAAATGATAAAGCTTTCCTTATTAAATTGTGGCTGTAGTTTATTATGACTTGTTATTGTACATTTCAAAATTCTATGCTAGCATATCTGGTTATAAAATGCACGTTCAATGCAATATGTTCCCCTTTGTGCATCTGCTTTTTCATTATTGTGTTTATTGTTATGAAATTTCTGCTAGCCATTCATCAAAAAAAAAATTCTCTTGGTGGTCTGTTTTTTTGCTATATTTTATTATGTAAAGAATATAAAATTTGGTTGTTTGGGACTGAGGACCACTTGAGAAGATGCAGAAAGGTTTAGAAATCAAACAGAATGGTTCAGGCTTTGGGAAAAATGGCTCAGGAGTCCAGTAGAATGGTTCGGGAGTCAGGTGGTTCAATCTAGAGTGAGCTATCTCAAGGTTTGGTGCGTCTACACATCCTGAAACACCCTTGTGCTCCTTTAGAAAATAAACGTGCAAAATTATTCATGTTCAGGATTTAGTGACCAGGATGCTGATAATAATAGCAACTTTGTGCCTTGAGTTAGTGATAGGTGTGTTATGTTTGGAGACATTATGGTGAATCAGGTGGTGATGTCATCTGACTAGCATGTAATTACCTAAGTGTAGTTACAGGATGAGAGCTACGCTCATGATGTCCTGTCTTCCCAGTGTAAGAGAGAGAGAGACCCTTGTGTAGGGAGAAATAGCAGTGTTAAATGTTGAAAAACAGCCTGGAACTCTGACCCCTTTCAGATGCACAGAGCATCATCTCAACAGGAATATGTAATCTCCTACAAACCAATGTAAACAAAAGGGATAAAATGGTTAAAAAAAAAAGCAGATGTAATGCAAGAAAATATTGAGAAACAACTGTGTTAAATGTAGAAAAACAGCCTGGAACATTATAAGACATATAAATGAAGTATTGGGAAATGTGTATGGCATGTATAGGGATGAGACATTATTGGAACCGGGGAGGCAGGAACATGTGCAAGCCCCTATTGGTCATTTGGGAGAGAGAGGCAGTGAGAACAAGACCAGTGTCTTGGATGGTCTCCAACAAATATGATATGATGATGATTAATATGATAACTATTTTGTATGTAGTGATCATATCGCCTCTTTTTCTTCTATTTTCTAGTTTTTGCATATTTAATGCCTCTAACCTCTCCTTGTAGCTCTTATCCTTCAGTTCTGTGAGCCACTTAGTGGCATGTCATTGTACCTTTTCCAATTTGTTGATGTGCTGCTTAACACTTTCTGCGGATGAGGACTCCTCCCGGCGTCCTGTTTCACCTACCCGCTCCCGCTAGGTGGACATAAATTAATGTCCTCTTTTAAAATATTTGTATAAAATTCAATTTTTATCCGATTTACTTTGGGTTTGTTTCAAACTGCGCGCCATGAGGCTCTTTCTCACCAATAGGTTGCATGGTACAATAAGTTCATGAAAGGTTCACAAACATAACAAAGGAAAAACATTTCGTGTGTGTTTGACTCTCACTGATATGTTCCAGCGTTGTTTTATATTTGGCGCTATTCTATCTTACGCTTTGTTGATCTTTTTTACCTACGGGCTCATAGAACATTCTATTGCGATCACATTGACACAAAAATGAATGACGTACATAGAATAATAATGCCATGAGAGTGAAATAAGTATAAACTTTCAAAGCGCTATGAGTTGTCCCGTCACCGATACCGGGTAACAATTTCACCACTTCCCACACTCTTGAGGGCGGGCCGCAATCATTATTCTACGTTTATATTCATATCACTGTGTTGGGAATTTCATTGCGAGTTCATTGATACCAAAATTAACGCTGTAGGACAAGTGTGGAGGTGATAACAATCCCAAGAGTAAAAACATTTTGTTGCTGTTGGGCGCTCACGGCGAGTCATCTTTGTAGTTATTTATTTGGTGCTGGTATCCCTATACGTTTCGTTACTTTTTTTACTGACATTCTTCTAGAGAATTTTATTGCGAACACGTTGGTACCAAAATGAAATATGTAGCTCGAGAACTAAGGTCAGGAGAGTAAAAAGAGTATACACATTTTTGTTTTTACGCTTACGCGGCAAAACGCCGTGAGCACATACCGCTTTTTTTTTTACCTTCGCCGGGAGGCTGAAAGTGTTAAGATATGGGCACCATATAACCGCTACATATTCCAGCTTTGGTCTAACAAAAGTCATGAACAGTTTTGTTAGTTTTTCTCCATCAATGTATTTAAAAGCAATTCTGAAGTAAGAAAATGTAGCATAGGCTCCTCGCACAATGTTCTTAACCCTTAACCCTTTAGCTGTGCAACGCGCCTGCAGGCCCAGGGCTAGGGTGCGCAACGCGCCTGCAGGCCCAGGCTTCGGGTGCGCAACACGCCTCCGGGTGTTTTTATTTTTCACGTTCCATTCAAAACTCCCGCTGCTACATGGGGTTCACATCAGCTTCCTCAGGGGTCTTGTAAACAGACGCCATCTTAAAAAAAAATCATGGTCCACATTGCCGGGTGTCAGAGCCTCAGTAGTGAGTGAGCAACCAAGGCTGGCGCTTGCAGCATGAGCGCACAGCACTGCTGTTCAGCGTGTGACCACAGCATTGCCTAATATTGTCAAAATATATATATAATCTGTTTTATTTAGCCATGATAGTATTATAGAAGAGCCCGAGTGTGATAATGACTGGGTACAATGTTCAAATATCAGTGATTCAATGCTGTTCACGATGTTCACAGCATTAGCCACAGCACCACAGTATTATTTCGTCCATCTAGGAATCTTCAAACGACTTTTTAGGTTCCTTTTCAAAATAAACTTGTGGTCAATTATTCATTCACAGGTATTAGTGACCAGGATTGTGGTTATAATGAGCATTGTGCGGAGGAAGGAGAAATTTTGGTGAGGGAGGGAGGTAGGAAGAGAATTGAGGTAGCCTCACTGTGTGGCAGTAACTCTTGTTTTGCTCACCGTACTAGCTTCGTGGTTCGCTATGGGGAACACACATGTACATGGGTATATACAGTGTATGGAATAGTGTAATAACAGCACCAGGAGTATGTTGTGAGGAGCTATTTTGGTGAGGGCGGTGACGTCGTAATTGTGGCGTCGTCTGCTGTCTGCTGTGTGATTTGTCATGCAGTGTATGGTGGCCACTGTACTGTTTGGACACAATACCGGCTTACTTGCATAGTTCTGGTAAATAAAACATGTAGATAGGTATATATAACATGTGTAAATTGTGTAATAAATACAATAACAGTATGGTGGGAGGAGCGATGTTGGTGAATAAGATGTTGGATTGAGGGAGGGCTGGCTGGGTGTGGCTGCTCACACTCGCGGTGTTCTGAGTGTGTTGATGGTGAATGTATATAGTGTGTGACAGTGTATAGTCTGTAAATTGATTGTATATATACATAAATTAGCATGATACATGGTAAATGTGTACATATTGCTTGGGGTGGTCTTTGCCCTTAAGGTAAGCCAGTGGTCTGTGACCGTTTGTTTTCCCTTGGGTTGGGAGTTAGTGGGGGTGCACTGGGATTTGCGTGACCAATTATTCAATTAACACAGATGCGATACAGTTACTTAATTTTCACATCAATGCCCACCACCCAGGTAGGGTGGTGGGCACGGATCTTCTCAGCTACTCCTGATTCCAGTGGGCCTTGAGCAGACTGTGGCAAGACAACTGCTCTGTCAATACCCATAAATTGCCAGAATTCTTCGCTCCATCATGGCCACACTATTTCAGATATAGTGGATCCCCCATGGTGGAGATGCCCAAACCCCACCATGGGGTTGTTAAGGAATAATAGGTATGCAGCTCAGTGACCTGAATACTGAATCAGCTGATTGATTTCTGAAACAACCACATGAACATTGATCCATCTGACTCTTGAATCATCCACCTGGTCCCAAGCCATCCACATAATTCCTGAGCAATCTACAAAAATTAATCCAACGAATCTGGAAACATCAACTAGCTCATTTAAAGACAGATATTGAGAATTACAAAAACTTTGTTTTGTGATCTGAGTTTGTACAAGGGTTTACAAATTCAGGGAATTTGTGCAAGGATATACAAACACACACACAGGGAGTTTGTGCAAGAATATACAAACACACACACAGGGAGTTTGTGCAAGAATATACAAACACACACACAGGGAGTGTGTGCAAGAATATACACACACACAGGGAGTGTGCGCCAGGATATACACACACACATGGAGTGTGCGCCAGGATATACACACACACATGGAGTGTGTGCCTGGATATACAATACAAACAGAGAGAGTGTGGCAGGTTATACAAACACACAGGGAGTGTGTACCAGGATATACAAACACATAGGGAGTGTGTACCAGGACATACACACACAGATGGAGTGTGGCAGGTTATACAAACACACAGGGAATGTGTACCAGGATATACAAACACTTGCCAATACATATACTGCCATGTTGTGGTAGTAGTTTTTCTCCTATGACAGTAAACATGCATTATTACAGTACTAGTGATGACATGTGGTATGTGTGTTCTTCTCCAGGAGCAACTGATGCTGAAGCCCACCAGAGGTATGGAGGAACTGCCAAGACACCGTAAACTTTCCCGCTTTAGAAACTTCGGTAATCAAATCCGGTAAGGCTCTTTCTGTTTTGATTTTTCATTATTATTATCCCCCATCTCTTCTTCAGCTGTCTCACCTGCTGTGCTGTCACTTCCTGTATGCAGTCTCCACTAGCTTGTCCATGCTCCTTTCTCAACCTTTATGCAATGCAAATGATTAATTAACAGAAGCTTTACTATAAACAAGCTTTATGGGTCATATATTATGTCCATTTCTGATAAAGTAAAGGGCAATAGTCATGAAATAAATCAGGGCCATACAAAAAGTCTAAATACCATTAGTGCTTTACTGTAGTTAATAATATATTTAAGGTACAGGAGTTAGACATATTATAAGAACAAATATTTATGTATATAGGCTTAGAACTACATAAACACTGAAACATTTCTCTGAAGATTGTTCAGAAGTGATCCACACTACTATAAGGATCTTACCATAAATCCTGTAACAGAAATTACACAAAGTAAACTTTCCATTTGCTTTAGTTAACAAAATACAATTTAATCCTTAACTATTTTCCTATTGCATCAAATGGTCAATTAAGTAATATTTATGAGTGAATTCCATGATCTTGCCAATATTGAGTGTTTGTGTGTGTAATTACCTAAGTATAGTTACAGGATGAGAGCTAAGCTCGTGGTGTCCCGTCTTCCCAGTACGCTTTGTCGTATAACAATTTGAAACTACTAATTATATGTGTGTGTGTGTGTGTGTGTGATAGAAACTACCTATTTGTGATTACCATTGGCTTCCCAGAGTTATCCAGGCTGATATGCTAATGTCATACTTTGGCATCAGTCATGTTTATGGAGTTCTCATGGCATCAGTTATATTTATGGACCTATCGTGGACCACGAGCCAGAACCTGGCCCTCCTCACAAAGGCACGAGGAGCAATAGCCTATAGAAACCCCCGTGTGGTTAGACACATTTCTATGTCTGCCATTGACTGGGTTAGGCACCCAGAAAGGTAGGCATCACAAAACAAACCTCTATTCTGGTGAAAATTGTTACTAAAAGCCGAACGAGTGAATAGAACTCCCCAAACAGAAACGAGCAAATGAGTAAGGCGTCACACGTCGCCGCGCCGCCATCTGCGCAGCTCCCCCCCCCTTCCCGGGGTCAGCCTAGTGTGGCTATAGTTCCCCTGTTAGGGTTTGGTGGCCTTTTGCTAGGCTCCCGTGATTGTACACATCGCACGGGTTTTCAGTGTTGCATCTACCCCTTGTTAGCTTGGGTGTTAACCGGTTAACAACACCTTGCCCGGGCTTCTCTTATCAGTCAATAAGGGCCCTGGAAAATCCTGTCGGGGCTCAGTGGACTATTGGATGTGTCTTCCGGGTTCCATCCCGTCTTGTGCGGGTTTGTTGGTTGGTGTGCCCTTGTCTCAGGGTGACAGTCCCCACTTTTACCTTCGTCATGCTGCCTGTTGGGGTCACTAACACCTTGACCCAGAGTCTTGCAAGATGTGTTCTCTGCTTATTCTTCAGTACTCTCCTGATGTCCTTACTGTTCAGAGTACAGGCGGCTTCCGCGTTGCAAGCTCGGTTTAGGTTGCTGCAATGCGCTAGGTTGGTTTCCTACCTGGATGCCCAGGGGCTGCCCCACTTTAGTTAGGTGCTGTTCGCCCCTTCTCTCCCTGTTCCCGGCTCCTGACCGTCTGCGGGTTTCGGGGTCGGGGTGGGGTGTAGTTAGTGCCAAGACTCGGGCGTCTTCAGGGGCTGAACCATTCGGGTTGGGGACGGAGGTTTTCAAGCTTGTTCCTCCTGCCAAGGCTTCTGGGTTTTACCAGCGGCCCTTTCTTTGCTGCCTTTCCCCTGGACTCTAACTTTTCTTTAAAGGCAGAGGGTATGGAGGACGGCTCTGCCCCGGGGCCTCTGTTGCGGGTTCCCAGGGCTGTGGGGGATGCCCGCTTGCAGTTCTAGGGCTATTTGCCCCAGCCTGGGGTCTTCGTTTTTCTAGTCTGCTTACTTCCCACATTTGCTGGTGTGTTTTCGGCTTTATTACGTCGGTCACGGCTCCTTGGTTTGGTGGCCATTTTTTTTTCTGCGGATAAATCCCCGCTTCGCCACCGGCAGCACTGCGGTTTGTTTACCTATGTCGGGGTGAGCGAGCTGGCGTTTTGAGTGAGTTTTAACCTTCTTTCAGGGGTTTTATCCTCCTGTTGCCATTTCTTTGTTTTTCTGGGATGTTCTCCCCATCTTCTGTTCCTCTGGGAACGCTTGGGTGTTGGTGTTTACACTGTTTTTTGCGTTTTCTGTCTGTTTTGGTCTGGGCCCCTAGGGTTTCGGCTCAGTGTCCCTGTCTGTTTATGCTTGCTCCCACACCTTGTCCCTCAGTTTTCGGTCTGTTTTGGCCATTTGGCCATTGTGCTTTGCCCTTCTGAGGTGCAATTCTGCCGGCAAATGTGGTAGTTTGGGCTCCCTCAGGTTCGATTCCTGGTTCCTTTGGGTTATTTGGTTTCGTTCTAGAGGTTTCTTCCTCTTGGGCCCCCTTTGTGGGTTCAGGTGTCTTTGTTACCTTGTTTGTGACGGTCTGGGGGGAGCCCCGTCGGCTCTCCAGAGCTATCTCAGGCTGATATGCTAATGTCAGACTTTGGCATCAGTCATGTGTATGGAGTTCTTAGGGCCTACCGGGGACCACGGCCAGAACCTGGCCCCTCAGAGAGGCAAGGGGAGCAATAGCCTATAGAAACCCCCGTGTGGTTGGAAGCATTCTATGTCTGCCATTGACCGGGTCAAGCATCCAGAAAGGTATGCATCCCAAAACAAACCCCTATTCCGGTTAAAATTGCTACCAAAAGCCGAACTAGTGGACAGAACTCCCCAACAGAAAACGAGCAAACTAGTATGACGTCACATGTCACCGCACTGCTGTCTGCGCAGCTCCCACCTCCTTGGGAGGGGGAATGGGGAGCCCCAGACCTCTCACGCCGGCTATCCACCCATCAATTCTTCGGCTGATGCTAAAGGGACCGGTTGTGTGCTCCGGCTCCAGTGGTTGTTTCAGCACTGTACCTAGAGTGTGGTGTTTGTCTTCTACGTGGTGTGTGAGTCGAGAATGAGTCTCCAGTACTCGGGCTGCGTATGCCTAGGGTTCCCTTCCCTAGGTGCCCTGTAAATACTGCCTTTGGGGCTTGGGGTTACCTTCCACAAGTTCCTAGGGTCCTGCTTCTGCTAGGTCATTTACTGTTTGGTTTTTGGCCGCCCTTTGTGTGATAGGGAGTCCTGTCTCCCTTGTTTGTCTTAGGGTAAAAGGCAGTTTGCACTGGTAAAGGCGCACGGTACTGCGCAGCTTGTTTTCACCACTCATAGCGGCCGGCTCTGTTCCGCCTGGGTACACTGTCCTCTTGCGGGGTTTTCTTTTTCTTTTTGTTTGTCTACCTGGTGGGGGTCTGCCTTTGGTTCTTGCTCTCTTTGTACCGAGTTCTCTTCCTTCTTCTGGTGGTTCCCCCCCTGCTAGGTCCCCGTGAGGGTGCACGTCCTGGGGGTTCAGTCCTTAGATTTGGGTGCCGGTTAGCAGTACCCTGCCTGGGATTACCTGAGCGCGAGTCCTTTTATAGTAAACGCTCAGGACCCTGGGAAACCCATAGGGGGAGCATGGGCCAGATGGATGTGGCTTCGGAGTTCCCCCTCGCTTTGTGTGAGTTTGAGGGTTGCTCTGTCCCCTTGTCTCAGGGTGACTCTCCCTGTTTTGCCTCCGTCTGATGCCTGTGGGGTCGGTGACACCCTCGGCCCAAAGTCCTGCGAGTTTTGCTGCTTGTTTGTGACTCGGTTACCCAGTCTTATGCTGACTATGTGGGTGCAGGCAGTACGGGCATTGCACATTGAGTTTCGGTGGCAACGCGCTAGATTGTTTGCTCCCCAGAAGCCCCAAGACTGCCCTGTTTTGGTTGGTGGCCTTGTCAGGTCCCTCCCCCCCCCCCTTCCTCCCTGCATCCGGGTCCTTCTCCTCTGTGGGCTCAGGGTTAGGGCGTGGCTTCCATGGTTTTGAGACTCGGTTGGTCTTGGGGAATTCCCCTTCTGGGGTAGCGATGGGGGCATTCGATCCTGTTCCTCCAGCCGTGTTGTACGGGTCTGCCAGTGGGCTCCCTTCCTTTGTGCTTTATCAAAATTCAAAAAATTCAAATTCAAAATTCAAATGTTTATTCAGGTAAAGTACATATATACAAGGTGTGAAATAAACATTGATGGATTTATAGATTGAGCTAGTACATACAATGCTCACGGCTGCCCCGGTTTTTTCTTGTGAGGCTGGGGCTTTGGGGGGACGGCTCAGCCCCGGGGTCTGCCGTGTGGGTTCCCAGGGATGGGGAGGGGCTGGCTTGGGGGACCCTAGGCTCCATTGGACCCTGCCAGGGTTTTTTCTGCACTCTGGGTGGGGCTTGTGGTTACGCGGAGTGGGGGTTTTCCTTCCCCACTCTCCGCACGAGTTGTTGGGCATCGGCCCCTCCTCGGGGCTCGGTTCCTTGTCCCTTAAGCCAGTTGGTTCCATCCTCTCGGTGGCTGCTTTTCTCTGTTCTTCACCCCATTTTTATGGGGACGGGCCTTCTTCGTCATGTTCCCCTCTTCTTGGGGTTCTGCATGACTTTTGGTATCGGGTGCTACTGGACCTTTCTGTGCCTTCGTCATTTGTGCTTGTTTCTGTGCGTACACGAAGGTTCGGGATGGTTTTTGCTCCTTCCCGTATTATTGGAATGTCTGTCATCTTTCGATGAAGTTTCCCTCTGGTCCTTTCTGGGGCTTGTTGGTCCTTTTCCAGGCTTTTTGTTGGTTTTCGGCCCTGTCTCATTCTTTGTTCATTTCTCTTCTCTCCCGTGCTGTGTCTCGACACTGCTCGTTTTCCTTCCATTCTCCTGGTCCTGGATGCCGGATTGGGCTACTTGTAGCCCTATTGGGCTACTGGTAGCCCGCTTGGGTTCCACTTCGGTTCATTAGTTTTCCTTACATGAGCCGGCTTGTGTGTCATTGCTTGCTTACTCTTTGGCTTATGTTCCCATGAGTTGGGCTGTT